CATTTTAGCAATTCCATTTACTTTTGATACTTAAGTATATTTAAAACCAAATACTTTTAGACTTTTACTCAAATAGGATTTTACTGGGTGACTTTCACTTTTACTTGAGTCATTTCTATTAAGGTATCTTTACCTTTACTCAAGTATGACAATTTAGTACTTTTTCCACCACTGGGAGGATGAATTTATTCAATCCACACCATTGGAAATTGTTATTCTCAATATGTTTTCAATATGCGTTTTATTATTTAATATATTTACGGAAGAATATGTAAAAAGTGGAACAGGGTAGTATGGTTTTCATCTAAGCTCATATTGTTTAGATATTTTTTTACCAAGGTAAAGATTGTGTAGCCCTGAACAATTGTGACATTTTAAAACAAATTAAATTACCTTTCTATACATGGGCCTATATAAAACAATAATAAAAACTAGATCTACACTACCAGTCAAAAGTTTGGACACACCTACTCATTCAAGGGTTTTTCTTAATTTTTTACTATTTTTATATTGTAGAATAATAGTGAAGACATCAAAACTATGAAATAACACATATGGAATCATGTAGTAACCAAAAAGGTGATAAACAAATCAAAATATATTTTATATTTGAGGGGTGCTATGATGAAACTGGCTCTCATGAGGACCACCACAGGAATGGAAGACACAGAGTTACCTCTGCTACAGAGGATAAGTTCATTAGAGTTACCAGCCTCAGAAATTGCAGCCCAAATAAATGCTTCACAGAGTTCAAGTAACAGACATCTCAACATCAACTGTTCAGAGGAGACTGTGTGAATCAGGCCTTCATGGTCGAATTGCTGCAAATAAACCACTATTAAAGGACACCAATAATAAGAAGAGACTTGTTTGGGCCAAGAAACACGAGCAATGGACATTAGACCGGTGGAAATGTGTCCTTTGGTCTAGGGTCCAAATTTGAGATTTTTGGTTCCAACCGCTGTGTCTTTGTGAGACACGGTGTGGGTGAACGGATGATCTTTGCATGTTTATTTCCCACCGTAAAGCATGGAGGAGGAGGTGTTATGGTGTAGGGGTGCTTTGCTGGTGACACTGTCAGTTATTTATTTAGAATTCAAGGCACACTTAACCAGCATTGGCTACCACAGCATTCTGCAGCGATACACCATCCCATCTGGTTTGGGCTTAGTGGGACTATCATTTGTTTTTCAACAGGACAATGACCCAACACACCTCCAGGCTGTGTAAGGGCTATTTGACCAAGAAGGAGAGTGATGGAGTGCTGCATCAGATGACCTGGTCTCCACAATCCCCCGACCTCAACCCAATTGAGAGGGTTTGGGATGAGTCGGACCGCAGAGTGAAGGAAAAGCAGCCAACAAGTGCTCAGAATATGTGGGAACTCCTTCAAGACTGTCGGAAAATTATTCCAGGTGAAGCTGGTTGAGAGAATGCCAAGACTGTGCAAAGTTGTCATCAAGGCAAAGGGTGGCTATTTGAAGAATCTCAAATATAAAATATATTTTGATTTGTTTACTATATGACTCCATATGTGTTATTTCATAATATTGATGTCTTCACTATTATTCTATAATGTAGAAAATAGTAAAAAATAAATAAAATAAAAACCTGGAATGAGTAGGTGTGTACAAACTTTTGACTGGTACTGTACATGGAAACAATAATACATACACAAACTCGACCACAGAGCAATTGAGTATGATACAGATCAAGGTTGGTGTAATAGTCCTGTAGTTTTGTGCCCCCTTCTGGTCATCCAGGTCCCATTCACAAAACACAGTGATAGCAAAAAATAAATCACTATAATACTCATGGAAGACCATAAAATCTATCAACAGATGTGGAATATTGTAAGACAACCACACTAGTATCATCCCAACGTGTTAATTTTATGCACAGATATTTTTGCAGTTGACTTAAAAGCGCTTGCATCCACAGCATAATGAAACCAAAACAATTAGTTGCATTCAGCACTAAACATCCACCTATAACATCCCACTTGACAAGGCCAGTTTTCATAATTTCACTCCCTTGGTTCAAGGCCTCCTATGAGTCTTTCTTTCACTGCCTTTTCTGATACCTTGTTGAAGAGAAGCTGACTAAGCAACGCCGTTAAATTCCTTAGCTGTAAATATGATAGGCCACAAAACTCCATTATTACCTGTGCTGTCCCTGCTACAGTGCTGGTAGGTAGATGGGAAGAGTGGATCGAGACACTGGTGGAATAGTGTGATTGTGATTGATGGCTTCCCATTAGATAGTGTGTTATCGCTGCGGGTGGAGAGAACTATCCAGCCACTGGGTTGTAACACAACACATTACCTGCTGCAGTCTCCAGCAGCCACAGACGTTTAAATAAAATGTAGACCCTTTCACGAGCTTCAGGCACTCTCACGTCAGCCTTGATTTGCTAAGCATTCCCACTCGATAAACACATTTAGTATTCACATTATCTAGCTGGAGTTTCAGTTCCCTGCCGGAGCTCTCAGCAGTGTACTGTAGCTCTCTCTTCAATCATCTCAGTCGTGGATATTATCTGGTGTAGCCTACCAATTGTCCGATGTTTTGCTCTTCCTGGTGCTCCCGGTCAAAGTGATGGACTGTGACTGGTATACGGTGTCCTGCATTACCTCAACAAATGATCTGGCCCTCGATGGCAGACCTTGACAACAGAGAAATCAATATCTCACCATTAAAATCTATCAGAGAGTTAGGGCAGCGGATGGCGGAGGTTCCACTATCACGCGGCCACAACATTAAAACCTTACACTGGCCGTACATGAGTAATCAATATAGTGGTTCACAGATCATTTGTGGTCACCTTTGCAGCTGTGATGGATGTCTGTGGAGGCCGTGATTCATGTTGTGACACCGTTTAACAGGATTTCGCTCCGATTTAGATGGTCATTCCTCAGAGACATTCAGGCGACGTGGCAGTGGAGCGCACACACTTTCAATTTCACTGAGACGTTATGGATTTTGTGCCCTGCCATGTGTGAAAACACTTCAGTGCGCAAGGTTAAATCTTGTCCTACAGTTTTCATGTGATGAGCTAATGCAATGACCATAGTTAACAGCAGCCTTGCTTTGAGGGGTGTTGGACACAACTGTACCATACTGGATCAGTGTAATAGGGTACTACTGGGTTCAAAACCAGCTACACTGGTGTCAGAAGTGGGAATAGTTTTGGGAATAGCTAACATGTGGGCAACGCAAGGTGAATGTTCCAAAGGAATGTGTTATGACAACAGCTATCTCTCTCTATTACTCAGTATCCACGACCATGCTAAGGAGCCTGTTGAATGGTTGGGGAAAGAGCCATCTTAGTTTTTTCTTGCAGTGCATCTGATTGCTCTCAAACTTGCCTCCTGACCCTCAGTCTCTGAGAGGAGATAATTACTTGTCAGGAAGAAATAGAGATGAATGAATTCATTAGCAGGAGGGAGTTCAGCTTTCACAGCACCACTTTCTGCTATGACACATCACGCCTATTGTTTTAGCTAGTTAGCCTTGAACAATAACATTCACACAGTAAATTGCCTCATACAGGACTGTAAAACCAAATTATAAAAACATCCATATATCCTGGAATTTAGCAAAGATGCAAACGAACGAGCCTCAACTCCAGATTATTAATTTTGTTTGTCTATATAAGCCTGTTACTGTGGGAGGCTGGTGAAGATGGGTGACATTAATCCACATTAGTAGAATACACCAGTTAGATTGGCCAGCCTTGCCATAGCAGGCACTGCATATTTGGACTGCAGCACTGGTAAAGTATATTCATGTCAATACACATTCATCTAACCATTTAGAATAGCCTAAGCATCAGGATCACAGACAAAAGATACTTTGCCCAAATGTTCCTAAAATCTTTCAGAGCTGTTTGCGTGTGTGACCAGGGAGAAAAAAAAAACCTGTCAACAAAAGGCGTTCTTTATTTAACCAAAGAGATTGCACATGTTCAAGTTCAAGTGTTTCTGTTAGTGAGATGAAAACATCCCAGTTCAACCCTCAACTTCCTGAAGAGATGAATTAAATAAAGCCTGTTCATCATATTTCTAGAATAATTCACCATAGCTATAATGCTGACATGCTAGGATATTCAAGTTAGTTATTTTTATATTGAGCGCGTTCTTCCCTCTGCAGTCATTGGCGGTTTGTTTGCATTATCATGCCAAGTAAAATTAATATTTTACAAAAACACTGTTGAGATATTTATTTCTAAAAACATTGAGTTTCCTCTAATTCAACCCGTTATGTTAAATGACAAATGATAAGGTTTTACTAAAGTATTATGAAAAACAAACAAATTTGGGAAAAAATCCCTTCACAAAGCAGTCTTGCCACAATTTCTAGATATAGGAAGCCATTCCTTCTTCTTCTTAACACTAACATATCCTTATAGTATATCCATTTAAAAAAATGTCAATGCATAAGTCTGTTTAATTATTTTCTGTGAGCTCAATGCGCAGTTTCTATAGAGCGAAATCTGATCAAGCACGTGTGAGATGTAATAGGGAGTTGTAGTTTAACAGGCCAATATTCTACATAGTTTAGTGCAGAAAACTTGGTAATTAACTACAATGATCCATTGCACGCCTACTTGTCCGGTATGTGTGTTTATTTTACGCCTGCTATGTTATGTTAGTGTAAGGCAGACACGGAGGGAGAATGGCGATCGAGAGGGATAGATAGCAGTTGCTTCAGGAGGTATCTCTACCTGAAAATACATGATCTAAGTGATTGATAGTTGGTATTCAGCATCATAAAAGTATGCCTTATTTACTTTCAACAACTACTAAAATAGTGATTGTGTTAGACCGCATAGGCAGCAGCTCTATAAAGTTGAGATGATGACTTGGAATGAAATAATAAAGTCATCAAATAAAACAAATGTAATATACACAACTGAAATATTTTAGTAAAGTTATGTGAATAAATTATGGTTAATAAGTGATAAACAGTAATGGGAAGCCATCATGGAACATTTATTAATTGTTTTATTCTGTGTTGTTACACAATTCAACCCACAATGCATTTATTGTTTAAAAATAATAATGAAAACCGAAAACGTGAGACTCTTTTAAATAAATCGAACCGAACTCAAAAAGCACTTATCGCTTATCAGCACTACCTCTGACCCAAGAACCCACTGATGATGTGGACACGTGTGTGCACCTGCTGGTTGGACAATGAAATGGGAAGCATGGTCTCTGATTGGATTTCATCAGGGTTTGGGTCAATTCAATTTTCAATTCAGGAAGTGAACACAAGTGAAATTTGCCCATAAACTTTTATGAGCATTTTTCTTTTAACAAAATAGCTATTTTAATTGAAATTAAACATTGAATGCAGGGGCAGGTAAGGCTGGTTGAAATACCAACTGGACCCAGTATGCTGGTTGCTTTGATATAACTCTAGGATGTCATAAATAAGTGCAACAATAAACACTTCACCCCTTCTCATGACTGCCAGCAAATAGACATTATCGACATGTAACTCCCCCCAACAAAAGTACTATAAGTGTGTATATAATTGTACATTTTAAAATCAAGGAATAAATGTATCTATACATATTATATGGGCTATATAGGTTCTACTAATATATCAAGGATATAAAGAATGGATGAATAAAGAAAATAATTCAGATAATCCTGTGTGTAAGTCTGTTTGGCACGATGGAGCCAAAGGTGTCACACCACTTGTGCTGAGGTGCCCTGAACAACAGCAGAGCAACACTAATATTGGTGCCTGTTGAGTTGCAATCACAGATTGCGTTGTAGATTGGGCCTACCTACCACACATGACATCAGCAATTCTTGTTATTCCTCTCATTAGGCCAGCCATCGAATGCTTATAATAAAGCTAGCTGTTGTCCGTCCACCTAGGCCCTGAATAGGCACATAGGAACCAACCAATCAAAACACAGTCTTGTCCTACAGCACAGCACTCCTCAGCAAAACAGAAGCACATAATTGGTTGCCTGTGCATGACTGCCCCATCTCGGCCAAGGTTGACCAATCCCCATCAACGCTGCATACAGACGTCCTTTAACATCCTCCTTTTGGCTTTTTTGTTGCTAAAAAAGTTATATTTTGAGCAAAAGTTTGATATAGCCAGAAGTTCTTTCAGTCTTGATGAGTCTTTCCTGACATTCGTTTGCATTCATACTGGAAACAAGAACAGAGATAATGTAATGTGCCAGTTGAATATTCAGAGTAAAAAGCTCTGGTGTGAATGAATGTATACATGTATATAGGACATTTATAAACCTATGACAAACTTCTTAATTCAGCATTAAAAAAAATATCCTCACCAGGGCTAGCTGCCGTCCTATGTTCCCCATGGTTATCACACCAGCGAAGAAGATGCAAGGCAACCAGGAGCGAATGTACAGGAAATCTGGAGAGGTATACCTGAAACAAAAACGGGTATTAAAAACATAGGATAATCCCAAAATGAGCATGAAAATCAACAGAAATATCTCCTGTATCTTGAAAAACAAAATAATGAATTGCAATTCTGGCCCTAAAGAAAGATTTTTCCATTTAAAAAGCAGTGCATTGAGTTACAGGCATACCATGCTTTGATTGTAAGGGAGGAAACAAAATGCTCCCAATGTTTAAGTAGGTCTACTCACTCTTATCAATGTTCTTGAAGTTTAACACTTGCACGCACACACACACTTAAAGCTTCAGGCATTCTAAATGACTGTTCTCCCAATTTCTGATTGGAGAGGTTGACTACAGGGAAACAAATAACTGGCTCTATGGATACAAAGACCATTTAAACTTATCCAACAATTTTATGAATTCAACAGAAGACAATATCTCAGCCAGGTTTGAGTTCATGTAATACAGCTATTAGATCTAGCCTACTTGAACATGAACTAGTCACAAGCTGCTACTACTAGACTTGGGATCATTTGCTTAAATCTGTAGACCTGTGAACTAAAACAAAAACAGTAGCTAAATGGAATGGTTGTCCTAGTCTGATTAAAATCATTGTGGGAAGTTAGCTAGTTATATCAAAAGGCATTCAGCCATTGCATTATAAAAATTAATTTGGTTAGCTAGCTACTTCTGTACAAATGATGTTTTTGCTGTTATGTAAAGAAACGCCTGGGAATGTGTTTATGGTTGAACTTTCTGTACGTTTTCCTTCAAAATTATTTCTCGAAGCTGGATGTTTAAGAGACAGACAGCGATACATAAGATCAGCTGCCACCGAGTGCAGTGTCCGTGCGGAATAGGGTCCGTGCAGAAACACTTGTGATTAAAAAGAGTCTGAGGTAAAGAAATGGATTAACGGCGTCACATTTTTTACAGCATTAACATTATAATATATGTATGTCCTGTAAATTGTATTGTGAGGTATTGTAGTAGTACTCACTGAAAGACTCCGTTATAGACCAGGAGCTGAGTGGACAGAGTGGCCAGCAGGGCGATGACCACCCCCAGGCCAAAACCGGAGCGAGACCGGTCAAACGTCCACCACAGACCGATGGACAGGGCCGCCAGTGTCAGGGACAGCTGTACGTTGTTCGCAAAGTCCACTTTCTGAGGGGGCCTGGGTTAAGGACAGTTGAGCATGTTGTAGGATAGTCCACACAGGAACCATGGTTTCTACTCAGAGTAAGGTGCTTTCTTGTAAACAGACCATCACGTTTAAAACCCCACCTTTTTAGCTTGGTAATCTTATTGTTTTACACACCCTTTGTGTTTTATGCACTTTTATTCATCCCTTTCATTGCTTCATTTGATTTTACTTCTTTCCTTTTATTGTTTTATTGTAAAGTATGTTGCAATAATAAATACACTCAAAGTTTCATTTGAATGTGGAAATGTAATGGGAAGATTTTGCCCCATGGTTAACAGGTTTTTACGCACATCTTGTATTATGGTATGCACGTAAATACAGTGAGTGTCAGACAGGCAGGCAGGCCTAGAGGATACAGCGCTGGCATGGTTGATGCCTACGAACACCGCCACACAGCGCATCACACTGGACCACTCCCGCTTGAACTTGTGGGGCTCGCCGAGCCGACTGTCAATGCACGGATACAACAGACCGATCATTGCTGGGAGATAGAGGTAGATGGAGAGAGCGGTAAATGGAGAGAGAGGTAGGGGATTGCAGGGTGAGAGGGTGCAGAAATAGGGAGAGAGGATCAGAGATCAACTATCAGCTTTACTGCTGCTGCAGCAGCACAGTCCATGCCATACATTCCTGTTAGTATTGTTGTGAAGAGAAAGGCTGCCATGCCAGCCCACCACATTGCATCAATGCTATTCTGATGATAAAAAATTAAATAAACACTTGTTGAGGTTGGCCCCCTTTGAAAGTTATAGTTTCAATACTACACAAGAACTGTACAGACAAGTTAAAGTAACTATGTACAGTAAACATGAAGTGCTGCTCTGGTCTTGACTAGTCAATAAAACCCAATAGCTACTGCATGATGCAAACAGCCCAGTGTGCAGTAACAGTGGAAACCTCAATCTCCCCAAGGCTGAGCAGTAGAGCACGGGAGTCTCAGTCTCAGGGGGAAACAGGCCTGGGCTGTTGTGCCTTTCTACTGGTCCACTAGGGAACAGCAGCTACATCTACTCTCTGTGCTGCAGACCCAGGGGACAACGATTTAATAATTATAGTAGTCAAGGCTGGCGGGTAAAAACCTGTGTGTGTTTGTGTGTTCGTCCTACCCGAGGCGGTCCCACAGCAGGGCGGCACCCACCAGGCTGATGAGAAGATGCTACTGATGACATCAGGGGGGAACAGAGTGACGTTCCTCTGTACCTGCAGCGAGAGAAAACAAAGATGAGCTACTTTAGTACTCTCCGTCACCTTCAATGTTTTCCTGCTCAAGTGATGTATCATTAAAAGTCAAAAGACAAACATCGTCCACCTGCAGCAGATTGAGCACCAGAGCCAGGAACACTCCTATAGAGAACAGCATGAACCCGCGGATCACCAGGTTGGTGTTTCTGTTTGTGATCACCGCGATGTACGGTCCTCTGGAAGGAGCAGTCTCACCGGACCCGGACCGCTGCTGGTTGCTGACCACTGTAGAGTCGGCCATGGCTGCCAGGGCCGGGGCAACCGTGGACGCCAGGACAGGAGGAAAAAGGGAAACGCTAACTTTATCCTCAAGTGATCGCACTGTCCACTGACATCACCGACACCCTGAAACACAAGAACTAATTTATGTATTCAAGTGTGGCTACATGATCCAATAAACAACCACAGAGGTGTGGACTGTGAAATCAGTGGACAAGAACAGTGCAGATGCAAAGTTTGGTAACAGAATGACGGTTTGTGCTGTTTATGCAATCATTCTGTCACCAAACTTTGCATCTGTACTGTTCAAGTAAATGCGTTTTTGTAACATTTTTTGTGGAAAATGATAAAAGTAGTCCTTGTGCAAAGAGTTGTATGGTTTGTTGTCCCCCACAACGAAATCGGGGATGGAACAGTGCATCTGTCTCCGTCCAGCCGTACGTTAGTCACACGCAATCTCATAGCACTGGCATGATTTTGACGAAACTTGGCTGAATGATGCATCTTGCCATAGAGATCCAGCAATTACAAAATTACACTGATTGCCCAAATGGTGGCGCTCTAACAAGTTTGAAAATGCAAACTTTGAAAGGTCACCCCCATCACCCTGATTGACCTAAGTCATGAAATTCAGTACATAGGTCCCTCTCACAATGAACAAATTTGCCTCCGGGACCTCGCCATGACAGATTTTCCACCATTTTGAATGACCAATCTGCACGAAAGTTGATATGTTGTATCTAGGTACAAAGATCTCAATGCAATTTTTTCTAGACTAGTACCTAAAACAACATGTCTTCTATTGACCAATAAACATTCACATGGGTGTGGTCTGGCACATTAATGCATATAAATCAGTTAAGGAAATTTGGTACACGTCGCAAACACTGTCAAGACTCAACATATGCAAGGACATTCATATCAACCACCCGGTGGCACTATTACATTTACATCATTTAGCAGATGCTCTTATCCAGAGCGACTTACAAATTGGTGCATTCAACTTATGATAGCCAGTGGGACAACCACCTTTATTTATTTTTTATTGGGGGGTGGGGAAAGAAGGATTACTTTATACTATTCCAGGTATTCCTTAAAGAGGTAGGGTTTCAAGTGTCTCCGGAAGGTGATCAGTGACTCCGCTGTCCTGGCGTCGTGGGGGAGCTTGTTCCACCATTGGGGTGCCAGAGCAGCGAATAGCTTTGACTGGGCTGAGCGGGAACTGTGCTTCCGTAGAGGTAGGGGAGCTAGCAGGCCAGAGGTGGATGAACGTAGTGCCCTTGTTTGGGTGTAGGGTCTGATCAGAGCCTGAAGGTAAGGAGGTGCCGTTCCCCTCACAGTTCTGTAGGCAAGCACCATGGTCTTGTAATAGATGCAAGCCTCAACTGGAAGCCAGTGGAGTGTGCGGAGGAGTGGGGTGACATGAGAGAACTTGGGAAGGTTGAACACCAGACGGGCTGCAGCGTTCTGGATAAGTTGAAGGGGTTTAATGGCACAGGCAGGGAGCCCAGCCAACAGCGAGTTGCAGTAATCCAGCGGGGAGATGACAAGTGACTATAACAGGCACATGTTTATATCTCTTGATCTGTTTGACTCAGAGTGCTGAAATGTGGTACACAAGCTCAGGGATGAGTATATTTAACCCACTCGATATCAGACACCACTGTCCTGATTTTGACTAAACTTGGGTGAATGATGTGTCTTGCCATAAAGAGCCGGTATTTACCAAATTTCATTGATTGACCTAAGGGTGCCTTCAGAAAGTATTCACACTCCTTGACTTTTCCACATTTTGTTGTGTTACAGCCTGAATATAAAATCAATTAAAATTGAGATTGTGTCACTGGCCTACATAATACCCCATAATGTCAAAGTGGAATTATGTTTTTAGAAATGTTTAGAAATTAATTAAAAATGAAAAACTTAAATGTCTTGAGTCAATAAGTATTCAACCCCTAAAATGTGCTTAACAAGTCACGATAAGTTGCATGGACTCACTGTGTGCAATAAGTGTTCAACATTATTTTTGAATGACTACCATCTCTATACCCCACACATGTAATTATCTGTAAGGTCCCACAGTGGAGCAGTGAATTTCAAACACATATTCAACCACAAAGACCAGGGAGGTTTTCCAATGCCTCGCAAAGAAGGACACCTACTGGTAGATAGGTTAAAAAAAAAGCAGACATTGAATTTCCCTTTGTGCATGGTGAAGTTATTAATTACACTTTGGATGGTGCATCAATACACCCAGTCACTTCAAAGATACAGGCATCCTTCCTAACTCAGTTGCCGGAGAGGAAGGAAACCCCTCAGGGGTTTCACCATGAGGCCAATGGTGACTTTAAAACAGTTACAGAGTTTAATGGCTGTGATAGGAGAAAACTGAGGATGGATCAACAACATTGAGTACGTTTACATGCGCAGGAATAATTCTATATATAGTCATGTAAACTCCTTACTCTGCTTATCTTAAAATCGGAGTAAGGTCAAAATCGAAGTAAGCATATGCCGATTTAAACACCTGGTTTTCTGAGCAATCTTTCAAATTATTAGGACATGTAAACAACTTAAAATCGGCATTCCAGCTGTGTATTTGATCTGCAAATGTGCCAGCACCGGTAGCGCAAACCTCCCTCTTTAGCGCGAGTGAAGTGAGTTCGGAACAACTGAATATATCCGTCTTAGAAGTAATTTTCACATACAAATGTTATATGTCCTAACTCAGAATCAAATATGCTCCCCAAAAACAGCATGGTCGCTGTGGTAGAACGTTTATTATGAGGAGCAATTTTCTGCATTTTTTTAGAGTGCCATCAGGTAGCCGGATTTCAGATGTGTCCATATAAAAAACAGGATTATTAGGGAAATCGTTCTTCTTGCAAAAATCTGACTATCCACAATAATCACATTATTATGTGCATGTAACCATACTCAGTGTAGTTACTCCACAATACCAACCTAAATGATAGAGTGAAAAGGCCTGAACAGAATAAAAAATATTCCAAAACATGCATCCTGTTTGCATTAAAGTAAAACTGCAAAAAATGTGGCAAAGAAATTAACTTTATGTCCTGAATACAAAGAGTTGTGTTTGGGGCAAATCCAACAACACATCACTGAGTACTACTCTTCATAATTTCAAGCATACTGGTGGCTGCATCATGTTATGGGTATGCTTGTCATCGGCAAGGAGTAGGGAGTTTTTTTTAGGATAAAACGAAACAGAATAGAGCTAAGCACAAGCAAAATCCTAGAGGAAAACCTGGTTCAGTCTGCTTTCCAACAGACACTGGGAGACAAATTCAACTTTCAGCAGGACAATAACCTAAAACACAATGCCAAATCTACACTGGAGTTGCTTACCAAGACGACATTGAATGTTCCCGAGTGGCCTAGTTACAGTTTTGACTTAAAATCGGCTTCAAAATCTATGTCAAGTCTAGAAAATGGCTGATTAGCAATGATCAACAACCAACTTGACAGAGCTCGAATAATTTTTAAAAGAATAATGTGCAAATATTGTACAATCCAGGTGTGCAAAGCTCTTAGAGACTTACCCAGAAAGACTCACAGCGGTAATTGCTGCCAAAGGTGATTCTAACATGTATTGACTCAGGGGTGTGAATACTTATGTAGATTAGGTATTTTTGTTGAGAAAATAAATATCTATTTAATCCATTTTGAATTCGGGCTGTAACACAACAAAATGTGGAATAAGGCACTGTACGTTAGTCACACGCGATCTCAGACACCACTAGCCCGATTTTGACGAAACCTGGGTGAATAATGCATCTTGCCCTAGAGATGTAATTTACAAAATTACACTGATTGGCCCAAGGGGGGCGCTACATCATTCGTGGGGGACTACATTTTTAATATCATGGTTAGTGATACAACCAGCAGTCATATGACACAGAACTTACTTACCAAGCTGTCACCAAGCTCTCCTCTCTCTTGCAAGACTGATTGTAGAGGTCGTGTGCAGGGCTCTGTCCTTTTTCTTTCGTTTATTTATTTCTTATTTCTATTTTCACCGTGGAGTGCTAAAACATAGTTATTGTCCCCACGATGAAATTGGAGGGGGGACTACGGATCTGTCTCCGTCCGTTCGTATGTTAGTCACACGCAATATCTCAGACATCACTGGCCCGATTTTTACAAAACTAGGGTGAATGATGCGTCTTGCCATAGTGATCCAGCATTTACAAAATTACACTGATTAGGCCCAAGGGGGGCGCTATAGTAATCAACTGAAATTCCAAACTTTGAACAAGCTTATCTCTTGGGGGCCAACATGCTGCACATTCATTTACTGTTTCCTTGTTTAACTTTGCAATCTTTGGTTTTTGTTTGACAAACATTTTAAAGTGAAAAATCTTACAGTGGAATTTTCCCTAGCTAGTCAACAGAGCCCCACAGTGGAGGTGTCATAATACCCATAAAACCTAGCGGTCAAACAGAGAAATGGTTCCAATCCTTTTTTCCACCATTCATTTTTCCCATAGGGGATTTTAGAAACACTTAAAATAAGGCCTGTGTTTCGTGTAGGCTTACCCTGGCGTGACGTTTTAATAACCATGTAACTTTCTCAGAAAAAGTGACTTATGAATATTTTGGCTTTATTTACTCTGAGATTTGAAAATGCTAATTAGCATCAAAGTAGACATCATGAAAGACTACAAATCCCTGTAAGCTCCAGCACATCATCTCTAGCTGACAGCTTTGCTAACAGGTAGTGTCAATTTAAAACTTCCCCAAGACAGTTAACAGAAATGTCCATTTAAAGAAATGTACTACATTTGGCTAACAGATAGTTAATCCAGAGATTCTTACCTTTGCCTCAATTCTTCAGTCTCGTACAGATCATCATGGCATTTGTAGTTCTTTATGATAGTCACATTAGCAGCTAATTAGCATTTCATTTTTGGGGGGTAAATACAGGTGAATATATTGATAAGTCACCTTGTCCTAGAGATTTACACGGTTATCAAAACGTCACGCCAGGGTAAGCTTACACGGAACACAGCCCTTATTTTACATCATTCCTAGCCGAGTCCTCAGAGCATGCGCAGACCAGCTGGCTGGTGTGTTTATAGACATATTCAATCTCTCCCTTTCCCAGTCTGCTGTTCCCACATGCTTCAAGATGGCCACCATTGTTCCTGTACCCAAGAAAGCAAAGGTAACTGAACTAAATGACTATCGCCCTATAGCACTCACCTCTGTCATCATGAAGTGCTTTGAGAGACTAGCCAAGGATCATATCACCTCTACCTTACCTGTCACCCTAGACCCACTTCCATCTGCTTACCGCCCCAATAGATCCACAGACGATGCAATCGCCATCACACTGCACACTGCCCTATCCCATCTGGACAAGAGGAATACCTATGTAAGAATGCGGTTCATTGACTATAGCTCAGCATTCAAGACAATAGTACCCTCTAAGCTCATCATTAACCTCAAGGCCCTGGGTCTGAACCCCGCCCTGTGCAACTGGGTCCTGGACTTCCTGACGGGGCGCCCCCAGGTGGTGAAGGTAGGAAACAACATCTCCACTTCGCTGATCCTCACTGGGGCCCCACAAGGGTGCGTGCTCTGCCCCCTCCTATACTCCCTGTTCACCCATGACTGCGTGGCCAAGCACGCCTCCAACTCAAATCGTCAAGTTTGCAGACGACACAACAGTAGTAGGCTTGATTACCAACAATGACGAGACCGCCTACAGGGAGGAGGTGAGGGCTCTGGGAGTGTGGTGCCAGGAAAATAACCTCTCACTCAACATCAACAAAACAAAGGAGATGATCGTGGACTTCAGGAAACAGCAGAGGGTGCACCCCCCTATCCACATCGACGGGACTACAGTGGAGAAGGTGGAAAGCTTCAAGTTCCTTGGCGTACACATCACCGACAAACTGAAATGGTCCACCCACGCAGACAGTGTGGTGAAGAAGGTGCAACACAGCCTCTTCACCCTCAGGAGGCTGAAGAAATTCGTCTTGGCACCTAAAACCCTCAAACTTTTACAGATGCACAATTGAGAGCATCCTGTCGGGCTGTATTACCGTCTGGTACAGCAACTGCACCGCCTGCAACAGCAGGACTCTCCAGAGCGTGGTGCGGTCTGTCGAACGTATTACCGGGGGCAAACTACCCGCCCTCCAAGACACATACAGCACCCGATGTCACAGGAAGGCAAAAAAGATCATCAAGGACATCAACCACCTGAGCCACTGCCTGTTCACCCCGCTATCATCCAGAAGGCGAGGTCAGTACAAAGCTGGGACCGAGAGAATGAAAAACAGCTTCTATCTCAAGGCCATCAGACTGTTAAATAGCCATCACTAGCACATTAGAGGCTGCTGCTGGCCTATTGAACTCACTGGCCACTTTAAGAAATTGAACACTAGTCACTTTAATAATGTTTACATATCTTGCACTACTCATCTCATATGTATATACTGCATTCTATTCTATAATATTCTACTGTATCTTAGTCCATGCCGCTCTGTCATTGCTTGTCCATATCTGTATATATTCTTAAATCCCATTCCTTACTAGTTTTGTGTGTATATGTTGTGAAATTGTTAGATGTTACTTGTTCGATATTTCTGCACTGTCGGAGCTAGAAGCACAAGCATTTCGCTACACCCGCTATAACATCTGCTAAACACGTGTATGTGACAAATCAAATTTGAATTTTTTTCAAACAATGGAAAAAGTTATGGTGGAAAAAACGACTGGAACCATTTCCCAGTTTGACCGCTAGGTTTTATGGGTATTATGACTCATAATGTGGTAATCTATGCTAATGCCTTAAAAACACTAGCCAAATAGTCTAACTAAGAATATTCATATTTCTACTGTTGATTTCTTTATAGTCTCAAGAAGATGCAAATCAAATCGTATTGGTCACATGCGCCGAATACAACAGGTATAGACTTTAGTCATTTGGCTTTACACACACCAAACCACATACACAATAGTATGTGGACACCCCTTCAAATTAGTGAATTCGTCTATTTCAGCCACACCAGTTGCTGACAGGTGTATAAAAGTCCCCTGTAGCTCAGTTGAAAGAGCATGGCGCTTGCAACGCCAGGGTTGTGGGTTCGTTTACCACGGGGGCCAGTATGAAAATGTATGCACTCACTAACTGTAAGTCGCTCTGGATAAGAGCGTCTGCTAAATGACTAAAATGTAAATGTAAAATCGAGCACACAGCCATGCAATCTCCATAGACAAATATTGGCAGCAAAATGGTCCGTACTGAAGAGATCAGTGACTTTCAACGTGGCACTGTCATAGGATGGCACCTTTCCAACAAGTCAGTCCGTAAAATTTCTGCCCTGCTACAGCTGCCCCTGTCAACTGTAAGTGCTGTTATTGTGAAGTGGAAACGTCTAGGAGCAACAACGGCTCAGCCGTGAAGTGGTAGACCACACAAGCTCACAGAACGGGCCGCGTAAAAATAATCTGTCCTCGGTTGCAACACTCACTACAGAGTTCCAAACTGCCTCTGAAAGCAACATCAGCACAATAACTGTTCGTCGGGTGCTTCATGAAATTTCCATGGTCGAGCAGCCGCACACAAGCCTAAGATCACCATGTGCAATGCCAAGCGTCGGCTGGAGCTTGCCGCCATTGGGCTCTGGAAACGCGTTCTCTGGAGTGATGAATCATGACTCACCATCTGGTAGTCCGACGGACAAATCTGGGTTGACCTCAACCCCATCGAACACATGAATTGGAAAGGCAACTGTGAGCCAGGCCTAATGTCCCAACATCAGTGCCCGACCTCACTAATGCTCTTGTGGCTGAATGAAAATCCCCGCAGCAATGTTACAAAATCTAGTGGAAAGCCTTCCCAGAAGAGTAGAGGATGTTATAGCAGCAAAAGGGGGACCAACTCCATATTAATACCCATGATATTGGAATGAGATGTTCAACGAGCAGGTGTCCACATACTTCTGGCCATGTAATGTATACTCAGCCTCAGAAAATGATTGAATACATCATGTTTGCCAGATGCCTCGCTACTTTAAGACCTAGCTAGCTACCTGCATTAACGTTTCATCTACGAAACTGGGATATGATATAACAGTAACGTGTGTTAGTATTTGCACTGTCAGAGCAACGTAACGTTAGTAAGCTACCTAGTTAGCTAAGGTGATTAAAAAGAGCCAACGTTAGTTAATGCTAGAAGATAGCCAGCCAACTACTGTAGCTAGCTAGCATAATACTTTTCAATACACAAGGTTGGATACAAACAATTATTAACTGACGTTAGCTAACTATATCGTAAGATTACATAATAAACGAATTTGCTACTTAGTCATTTGAACATAGTTGACTGATGATAATCAGCAAACACATATTTTGTTGATTAGCATAACTAGCTGACTAGTTAGCTAGCCACCAAGCTTCGTCAGTCAGCTGATATGATATCCACAAGCTATTTGCCTTTAATTAAATAAGAAATCTTACCTTCAATGTTTAAAAAGTATATTTTCTGAAATGGTAAAATACACATTCCACGTTATGTTTTTATGTAGTTAGCAGGAGTTCGAGACCTAGCTTCGAAATTAGCCTTCTCGCTAACTTCCGATTAAAAGGCTTGGCACTGGCTACGTGGCCAACCAATCAGCTTCTAAAACCAGAGACACTTTCAAGGAGATGTGAAACTCAATTGGAATCGTATTAACGCCAATTGTGTACGTTTCTCATGCGTCGTCAATGGGCCGCACAATGCATTCTGGGCTATTCTGGGACAAGGAGAGCTCTCCTTCAAGGTTTGAATGGGAGTCAATTGGGTTTAAGTACTTAAGTACAAATACTTTACTACTTAAGTAGTTTTTTGGAGTATCTGTACTTTACTATTTATATTTTTGACTACTTTTACTTTTACTTCATTACATTCCTAAAGAAAATAATATACTTTTTACTCCATACATTTTCCCTGACACCCAAAAGTACTCATTACATTTTGAATGCTTAGCAGGACAGAAAAATGGACCATTTTATTTTATTTTACTAGGCAAGTCAGTTAAGAAAAAATGCTTATTTACAATGACGGCCTATACCGGTCAAACCCGGACCGGTCAAACCCAATTGTGTGCCGCCCTATGGGACTCCCAATCACGGCCGGTTGTGATACAGCCTGGAATCGAACCAAGTGGTCTGTAGTGACGCCTTAAGCACTGAGATGCAGTGCCTTAGACCACTACGCCACTCGGGAGTTCCGCACTTATCAAGAGAACAACCTTGGTCATCCCTACTGCCTCTGATCTGGTGGACTCACACAAATGCTTTGTTTGTAAATTACGTCTGAGTGTTGGAGTGTGCCCCTGGCTATCGATAAATAAATAAATACTAGACAATTGTGCCATTTGGTTTGCTTAATATAAGTAATTTGAAATGATTTGTGCTTTTACTTTGATACTGAAGTATATTTTAGCAATTACATTTACTTTTGATACTTAAGTATATTTAAAACCAAATACTTTGAGACTTTTACTCAAGTAGTATTTTACTGGGTGACTTTCACTTTTACCCGTGTCATTTTCTATTAAGTTATCTTTACTTTTACTCAAGTATGACAATTGGGTACTTTTTCCACTACTGAAAATGTTGGGAAGGCATAAATTCTTCTTCTTCTTCTTTGGTATTATTGCAAACAAATATTATAGGTGCATGTATTGTCTGTGTATCAGCCTATTATTCTGTAGTATGAATTCATTACACTTTGTGAAAGAAAAACATATTTTAACTCTTCTGCAGTAAAATCTCATACACCCAAGTACTTCTCTGCAGCTACCACCACAACATCTATCCTCTGTGATTTACGTTCCATTCCTGCGGTAAAATTGACAACCATGGCCATGAACGCCAAAAAAAAAAAAAACTACTGAAGCACTTTACTCCTATCACTCTCCATTGGCCTCTGCCTACTCACAGGGATCCTCTTATGATCCCTCACCTTGGACCCGTCCTCTACTACTACTCTCTTCAGTGCCTCAGCATATGACACCTTCTGTACTACTCCTATCCTGGGAACCCCAACCTGCTTTTCTCTCACCTGACACCTCTGATCTCCAGGACCATGGGTACCCCTACAGTTTACACACACACAACTTTTTCAACCGATACTACACATTCCTTTGTCTCATGTCCTCCTGCACACTTCTCACATCTAGGAATCTCCCTCCAACACACTGCTGCCACATGACCATAAGCTTGACACCTAAAACACCGTAATGGTTTCAGGACAAAAGCTCTCACGGGATAACTGACACATCCTAACTTGACTTTATCTGGTTAAGACTCTGCATCAAAATTCAGTAGTTCAGACAGTGTCTTCTCTGTTTCACCATGCTCTCCACCACGTCTGCGTCGCACCAAACGGTGGACATCACAGACACCGGGAATCTTCAACTTCAGTTGATCCTCCTCAACACATAACGCCACTCCAGTTATCACTCCTTTCAACCGCACCATGCTCTGGAGAGGAAAGCAAGTCACAGTTCATGCTCTGGAGAGGAAAGCAAGTCACAGTTCTTGTCCCCAGTTGCGTGGTGTGGAGCGCATGCTCCCTCTGGACGGCAGAAACGCAAAAAATAATCACGATTCCACTTCGTTTCACTTTCCCCGACCCAACATTTCCCAAACTCTTCTCCACCTAACCTGACACCACATATGGATCTGCCAGAAACAAGGATCCGTTCTCTCCAAAAATCTCACTCCCACTGGGCCAGAATCATCTTTGTCATCACCAGGACGAGGCTCAAACTTGGCGGTATTTACCACACCTGCCACCACAGTTAATTCATCCTCACTCTCGTCACATTCAATTTCCTTCTGTAGCTCTTCCAAAAGTTATGTGTTATCCACCTCTCCATATTGACTGAAAACATGTTCCACTTTTCTCACTTTTTTCCTGTCCGCCATATTCTCATTTATCAGATCTTCCAGAAGGCTTGTGCATTCCCCCATTCCATATTTGCTTGTTTTATGTTCCACTTTTCTCCTTTTTTCCCCCTTCCACCATCTTATCTCCCATCTCATAAAGTGGAAATTACCAGTTGTGAAGCTATAAATACCAGTTGCATGCATGTGCTTTGAACTCGTTGAGAAACGCCGATTGGCTAATGGCCAACAAGCTCCGTCGTCAACCATAAACTAAAAGTACAGCTATCATGTTTGTTGTTGCATTTAACTGCCGAAAATGCTGTTATCGAGGTCATTTCCTGAGTTGGTGACGTCAGAGGTCAGCATGTGACGCTAGTCGGATCTAGGGAAACTCATAAATGTCCAATTTGCTAATTCCTTGAACGAGGTATGTGATTAACTACAACCATTTAGTAAGTCAAACATTTTCAATTTTCCTAGTTCTGACTAGCACGTGAACGCGGCATTAGAGCAGTCGGCACTCAGGGATGATAGACGAGTTTCACACTAGTAGCTAATTACCAGTTGGAGTGGTATTCAAGTGGATTTTTCCCAGTCTTATCTGGTAAATACCACCTTCCCACTTGGTTTTGAAAGCAGGTAGGATAAAAGCAAAGCCTGTCTTTGACATATCACATTATAAAATGGTTTAAATTAAAATACATACATTATTTTATTAATTTATTGAGAAAACGTTTCAATTGTTTAGCTATTGATTGTCAACAGACATAATTCGATTTATATATCAAAGCAGTGTTGATTAAATAATGTATTTAATATAGATCACATCTGACTAGGGCCTATTTACATTTTTGGTCTATCCATTGCATAAAATCCATTGCATGAAATCCAGAGTTGTAGTAATAAACATAACAATAAATCATAATAAACTGAGTGAGTGTGGATGGTCTGTGAGACTTTGAGAAGGCATCATGAGAGCTGTATAATCCTTTAAACCCCAGCATGAGCACTAGACCCTGAATACTGAATACCAAATTCAAGTGTAAATGGGAATGGGGATTAACTATGATCCACTCCACACTGTGACTGCCTCACATCCATAGCATAAGCCTATTAGATCACTTGCTGGAGCAAATCGAATGTGTTGACTGAACAGTGATAAGAAACTTGAAAGGAGAAGTCATGCAGCCATCGTGAATGAAAGATGACAGGAGAGAGAAGGGGATCACGTTGCTGTTTGAGTATGCAGTGAGGAGCAGGACAGGGATATTTGGCAGCTATACTTTTGGGGGACACAACAGCCTTTTGACTTATTTGGAACATAGATAGTTGAACTAAGGGATATTTCTTTCTTTTTTTTCACATGTAATAGGAAAAGCTGTCACTAAACTACTTTCCAGCACACCAGTGAAAACACTTTCAACATCAACAGTATCTTTTTCCACTGGATGGCTAGGACGTAAAATCACATAGAGGAGAAGAAGAAGACACGTGGCTAATTAATTAATTTAGAACTGTTATCATCTTGGGTATTCTGGATTCAATTGGCTGACTCTACAAGTCCCATCCACTGCAGTAGTACCAACAATCCCCGGGGAGATGTCCTTAACCCTAATAATCAGAGTGATAGAGGGAGCCTGCTAGGTACAGGCAGGATACGGAGGGGGTTTCAATTAGTTGTCAAGGGCTATTTGTAGGCCCCCTGATGCTGAGAGAAAATGGCTGGGGACCCAATTCATCATCCTGACTGGCTTAATGTTAAGGGCATTTTCATTACCAGTCCTGTGTGTCCCAGTCAGACACAACCCTCGTATAAATGTGACTGATGGTGAAGGTGCAGGGTGGGGTGGGCTCTCGCCTCTCTTTAAAGTCACCCCCTATTGGCCCGTTACAGGTCTCAGCTCACACATAATAGGCCCCCTGACCTTTCTGTTGTCTCTAATTAACCCCTAACCCCCTCCCCTCCCTGACTCACCCACCAATCCCCAGACAGGGATAATAGATGCGTTTTGCAGTGCCACTGTAACTCTCAGCCTCTCAGAGGTGTTATTTAATACTGAAAACCACTGAGGGCAACAAAGGAAAATGGCTGAGTATATGTGTTTCACCAGGGCTGCCTGACCAATAAATACTTGTAACATATTTTATGCCGTTGCGTGTGGGGGACGATGGTGGTTGTCTTCAATCATTTGAAACATAATATTACTAAAGCTGTTGTCTAAATGCCATAGCGAATTGAGAATATAATCAAACATAAACTCAGAAAATTAAGAAATGCCTTATTTGAAATTCCACCTACGCACATCTGTGCCAGAAAAGGTCTATGTTTTTGAAAACAGGTTTGCATGTTCCAGCGTGCCCCCAGGTCCCCAGGGCTTACAGAGTGGATCAGGAATAACTCATAAGGGCTTGACATATTGTCTCTCTCTGTGCCTGACTGACATACTGTGAATCTCCATGAACATCTGTACTGTGTTGTATTCAGAAGACAAGCCAGGAATGAATAGAGAACCGTGCAAGTACCTCCCTCAAAAGGTTTATTGACATTTACAGCAACAATGAAATACTAACCATCACATTTGTGGTATTGCCTAATGAACCAAAGTACTAATCGAAAGTAAAATTGTCCATAGTTGCATGATTAGACATTCTGTGAGGCTTTTAAGGAGCACATATGCAGGCACACAGGGACACACACTGCTGTCTATAATTCTAAATAAATGAGAAAGAAACACTGTATGGGAAAGAATACATACTGGAGCTTTAGAAACAGAGGGTGGTTATTTGTGGTTCCAAGTCTACTAATTCATCATTGTCTAGGAACATTCTTGCAACTATGGGCAAAATGCTAATGCCATTTAGCTGGCAACACAGAAGCACCAACACCAGCATGTGTGTGGCATCTTGATTGATAATGACAAAGCATGCCGTATCCCTTGTGAGCAAGTCTGTGGAATGCTGATTACAGATTGGCAAGTGTGTCCTCACCCCCATGAGGACCAGGATTCTAATGCTAATCACTGTTGGCTCCCATTGAAATATAACGTTTCCGATGTAGCTTTAAAGCAGGGAAATAAAATGAAATACACCAGTTACACTATTGTACAGATCTCTGTGTTTTGTCATTTTTAGCCCTACTGCATTTTGTATCCCACTTGCTCACTGCCAATTTTAGCCAATTGCACCATCTACTGGCACCATTATAGATCTAGCCTGTTTTTGTAAGGAACCAGTCACTGGTCAGAGCTTTCAAGTTGAATGTACATTCTCAGATTCTAACAGGAGGAAAGTTAAGATAATATATGAGGAGTGCTATATGATTATGTTTATTCACACCTATAGTATATTTACCAGTCATCATACAGGTATCATCAGTTCACTCTCAATTTGAAATGGCCTACATGGGATTCATCATCAATTACAAACTGCGAGACACTCCATAAATATCAGACAGCAGACACTTTATTTTCATTCAGGAGAGAGAAACATGTCGGAGCCGAGCCCAGAGATGCTCAGCTGCACATCTAATATAAGTTAATTGAAAGGAGGGAGATTCAGTGCATCTGTTCTCATTGGCTGGCTGTGTGCAGCTCCTCTGTAGCACAAACGGTCTGTGTTAATCAGCAGCCATCTCTTAAACAGCGGCCACGGCTATCAGTGAGGTGAGTCCATTGCTATTCAGGACCGAACAGATGATAAATCATTTGTACATAATTAGTGCTCAGCAAGGTTACAACTGACACAGATTTTCATCTTAATTAGGAGGGAAATTTGTTCCATTAATTTAATTTGGTGCGCATGAGTGGGTTAGCGGCTAACTAAGTTAATCTTACACCTGTCAGGGTGGGCGAAAAGAGACCCTTGGATCACGGGCAAACTGAAATTCTTCTATGAAACAAACTGGCTTGTTTCATTTGTAGGCTACCATTGTGACTGTCGTTTTCACAGTAAGCCATAATATTGTAATCATCCTAAGAAAAACATGTAGCCTATTTTGTTATTCTGTTATAAGTAACTTGCAATATGGCTCCAACTTATAAGAAAAACCTTTGGCTCAAAACCCTGTTTTGAGATGGCTGCAGTCTATACACCTCTTGTCAGGTGATGTACTGTTGTAAGTGTCTTATGTTTGAGTGAGAGACAGTGTCTGTAATGGTCTCAGCCGGGTGGGCATGGGTAAGTCCAAGGACTAGGTTTATTTTCATTGTTGAGGAGGCAGGGGAGTAGAGAGTGTATAAAGCTGTAGTAATTACCTGATAGAAGCAGTTCAATACACATAGAGAGAGAGCGAGAGAGAGAGAGAGAGAGAGAGAGAGAGAGAGAGAGAGAGAGAGAGAGAAATAAAATGACTGATTTAGGAGAGAGAGAGAGAGAGAGAGAGAGAGAGAGAGAGAGAGAGAGAGAGAGATAAATAAAATGACTGATTTAGGAGAGAGAGAGAGAGAGAGAGAGAGAGAGAGAGAGAGAGAGAGAGAGAGAGAGAGAAAGAAAGAAAGAAAATGACTGATTTAGGAACTGTGGGTCTCTAATGGAATCCTCCACCTGGGCGCTTAACCTGACAACTGTTACCTGCACTGATGCATAGTCCATTATGGGATCCTCCACTTTAATAGTGTCCATCATGTGAAATACAGAGATATCAGGTGCCAAAGCACTCACACATATTTGAAGGTGTAACCCGCTCTGTAATGGTGTTCTTTTAGACAATGCTGCAGTATTACTTACACATATGGTGAATCTATTCTTTGTAACAAAAAGCATACTTGAGACAGAGGCAAAAGGAATTAAAACACAGGTTTTTAAATGTGAGTGTTGTAGTGTTATCTTTCTCTCTCTTTCTCACACACACACACATTTTACATTTATGTGACAAAGCTGATGGTTGCATTGTGTCCTTGGTGGTGCTGCTTCCTTGCACTTCCACAATTGAGGATCATTAATCTCAACTTGCATGATTTCTTTGTCTCCAATAAGATTGACAACCCTGTTCAAGTGAAAGATATATTGACGTTGAAAGGCTTCAGACCAAGAGCTTCATCTTGTCCAGGAGAAGCCTTTTCCACAGAATCTTTAGTGGCATTAGCTCTCCCTCCACTGGACAAAAGTGGTATTGCAACTTTTAGAACAGCTTCATCGCTTCAAATGCACCATTCTTGTGCCCTTTTGTTTGTCTAAATGTAGACTCAATACTCACTTTATCAACTCTCTCATCACTACTGTGGCCGTGGTGCAGTCGATATTTAGGTGAGGTTTGCCTACGTGTTGTGTACAAATAGTGAACACACCATTTCTCACGGAATGCTCAAAGTCATATGCTTTCGTCATGTGACTACACACTACATCAGTTCAACATGGCGGCCACGTCTGTTTTCCAGAGAGTGAGAACAGGGTCGAAAATAGGAGCTCAATATGATCAAGAGGGAAATCTTATTCAGGTAACATAGTTTAATGCTACGCTGTAGTCTTTCGTTTTTCCAAATATGGTGCGGTTTGTGTCATTATAACAAGACAACATTGCAAGGTGAACATGGCTAGGTTTACCAGTTAGCTAGCCAGCTCACTGTTTGCTAGATAAACCAACTGATGTTAGCAACTGTGGCTTGCAGGTTGAAACACGGGAGGACGAGGAGCAGAGTGTCAAGCTAGCAGAAATCCTGGAACTTCTGCTTGCTGCTGGATACTTTAGAGCCCGTATCAAAGGACTGGGACCTTTTGACAAGGTGAGACCCAACAACTTACATAGGGGTGGCCAAGGCCAACCCTCCTCCTTGTTAGCTGCTGACTTTCGATTCATGGTATACCATCTCCTTGCTACCCAGTAGATGACACATCCATGTTTCTAATTCCACTTCCCTGAACCATGTCTTTTAATAGGTGGTTGGAGGGATGACATGGTGCATCACAACATGTAACTTCGACATTGACGTGGATCTGCTGTTCCAGGAAAATTCAACTATTGGACAGAAAATGTAAGTAGTTCACAGCCAGCATTATTGTGTTGACAGTTAGTGATGTTGCTGGACCAGTTTAACTGATGTATATTGACCTTGTGCATCTCCTTGCAGAGCTCTCACAGAGAAGATAGTGTCTGTTCTGCCCAAAATGAAGTGCCCTCACCGCCTGGAGCCCCATCAGATCCAAGGGCTGGATTTCATCCATATATTTCCAGTGATACAGGTGTGCATTCCTAGACTTTTGAGTTTTGTAGTAGAGTACTGCACTTAGTTTGTGACCTCATGTCTGATTCATTGCCTGTGTTGTATGATCTTCAGTGGCTGGTGAAGAGAGCCATAGAGACGAGAGAGGAGATGGGAGACTATGTGAGGGCCTACTCTGTCTCTCAGTTCCAGAAGACACACAGCTTTCCTGAGGTGAGCGCTGTTATTTTAGGGTGGCTCCATGGCAGGGATGTTAAACTCCAGCGCTTCTCATTACATTTCTAAGTGCAACATTCTGAACATTTCACTAAATAAACCCCTGTCTCATGCACCCTGTCTGTGTTGTCCCTCCATCCTAGGATGAAGACTTCCTGCAGAGGAAGGAGAAGGCTGTGAAAGCAGTCCTAGATGTATCGGTGAGTGACTCGCTAACATGCCATTTCTGGGTCAAATTATCCCATGAGCCTTCACAATACAGGCCCCCCTTGTAATAGTATAGAAACATTAAAAGCACATATACAGCATTTTGTTTTTCTCCTATGGTATTGACAGGAAGTGTATAAACCTCAGAGGAAGTACAAGAGACAGGTTGAAGCAGGAGAGCTGCTGGATGAGGAGTCCAGGGTTCACTCCACCCTGCTGGAGTACGGAAGGTAGGCTAGCTCTCTACCTCACTCTTTCTTTCTTTCTTTCTCGCTCTCATTCTCCGTATTCAGTCCTTCATATCCAACTTTCTCCACAGTTCATGTTATGTTCACATTGATAATCAGAACCAATGTGATCTCATCCCATTTGATAAATGTGTTCCTTCCATTTTCCTATCCTTTTCCTGCTTATCATCCATCCTTGTATTAGAATGTCAGATTACCTTCTGTAAGTATGTGAATGGACTCGTTCACTGCAAGGAGTGTTTTTCACATAAATGCTTGTTATGTGTGTGTTTGAATACAGAAGAGAGTACAAAACACTTAAAATAAGCATGTAGTTTGTGTGTGGTGCGCATGGATGCATGCATGTGTTAATGTGTTCCTTTTAATGTACCAGTATCCTAACAGTGATTTAATTTAAGCACCTATTTCTCCTTGATTTTAGACGATATGGATTCAGCAAGCAGACAAAACAGGACAAGGTGAGCTTAATTGAAATCGCATCAAGTTACACAAATCTCTTTCATCCCTGACATGTGAAGTTAATTGTAGAATTATATGAATTCAAAGCCTATAACTACAACCTTCTACAGAAAGATAAATACAGGGACAGTAGGTTGATCATTACATCCATTATTACAGGGATGGAGACTGGTGGATCATAGTTGTTCTGTGAGCTGCAGTAGAAAGTGAAACCTTCATAATGAAAGACGGTATCCCCCTGTTCCTTACAGACAGAGGAGCGGAAAGCCTCGTTGACCCCGGGCTCTCAGGCCACACCCCCAGGGATGACAGATGTGTCGCAGGAGGAGGAGGACCTGCAGGAAGCGGAGGAGGTGAGGTCACATCCCACGTGTATCTCTCTAAACCCAACCGTAGCCACATGTCCATTGTCCAATACTTCATGAATGCATCCCTCTGTATGATGATGTCCTGTCATATTTCCTCTCAGCTGCGCATCAAAACACTGATGACCAGCATGGCTGCCATGGCGACTGAGGAGGTAGGCAGGACTTTAGTTATTTTCTTTGCCTGCGCCTTTACGGTGTGGTTAATTTGTGTAAAAGGTTTTTTATTGAATGTGCGACATCTATATATGGTGCCTTGCAAAAGTATTCATCCATCTTGGCGTTTTTCCTATTTTGTTGCATTACAACCTGTAATTTAAATTGATTTTTATTTGTATTTCATGTAATGGACATACACAAAATAGTCCAAATTGGTGAAGTGAATATATATATTTTTTTACAGAAAAGTGGTGCGTGCATAAGTATTCACCCCCTTTGCTATGAAGCCCCTAAATAAGATCTGGTGCAACCAATTACCTTCAGAAGTCACATAATTAGTTAAATAAAGTCCACCTGTGTGCAATCTAAGTGTCACATGATCTGTCAAATGATCTCAGTATGTAAACACCTGTTCTGAAAGGCCCCAGAGTCTGCAACACCACTAAGCAAGGGGCACCATGAAGACCAAGGAGCTCTCCAAACAGGTCAGGGACAAAGTTGTGGAGAAGTACAGATCAGGGTTGGTTTATAAAAAAAATATCAAAAACCTTGAACATCCCATTATAAAAAAAATGGAAATAATATGGCACCACAACAAACCAGCCAAGAGAGGGCCGCCCACCAAAACTCACGGACCAGGCAAGGAGGGCATTAATCAGAGAGGCAACAAAGAGACCAAAGATAATTCTGAAGGAGCTGCAAATCTCTGCAGCGAGATTGGAGTATCTGTCCATAGGACCACTAAGCTTTTTGGCCATCAAGGAAAACGCTATATCTGGTGCAAACCCAACACCTCTCATCACCCCGAGAACACCATCCCCACAGTGAAGCATGGTGGTGGCAGCAGCATCATGCTGTGGGGATGTTTTTCATCGACTGGGAAACTGGTCAGAATTGAAGGAATGATGGATGGCGCTAAATACAGGGAAATTCTTGAGGGAAACCTGTTTCAGTCTTCCAGAGATTTGAGACTGGGGTGGAGGTTCACCTTCCAGCAGGACAATGACCCTAAGCATACTGCTAAAGCAACACTTGAGTGGTTTAAGGGGAAACATTTAAATGTCTTGGAATGGCCTAGTCAAAGCCCAGACCTCAATCCAATTGACAATCTGTGGTATGACTTAAAGATTACTGTACACCAGCGGAACCCATCCAACTTGAAGGAGCTGGAGTGGTTTTGCCTTGAAGAATGGGCAAAAATCCCAAGGGCTAGATGTGCCAAGCTTATAGAGACGTACACCAAGAGACTTGCAGCTGTAATTGCTGCAAAAGGTGGCTCTACAAAGTATTGACTTTGGGGGGGTGAATAGTTATGCACACTCAAGTTCAGTTTTTTTTAAATCATTTCTTGTTTATCATTCTATTTTGCATCTTCAAAGTGGTAGGTATGTTGTGTAAATCAAATGATACAAACCCCCCAAAAAATCTATTTTAATTCCAGGTTGTAAGGCAACAAAATAGGAAGAAATGCCAAGGGTGGTGAATACATTCGTAAGCCACTGTATTGTGGTCATGTGTGGCTCAGTCAGTAGAGCATTGCGCTTGCAACGCCAAGGGTTTTGGGTTCAATTCCCAATAGGGCCACCCATACTTTAAAAAAAATATTCACGCATGACTAAGTCTCTTTGGATAAAAGCGTCTGCTTTATGCCATATGTTATTAACTTGTGTTTGCCTGCAGGGGAGGCTAACAGCTAGCACTGTGGGCCAGATAGTTGGGCTACAGTCTGAGGAGATTAAACAGATAGCATCTGAGTACGCTGAGAAGGTAAGCGACTCCCACATCAGGGCTCACCTAAATGGTTAACTGCAATCAACAGGTTTCTGTCATATTTTAAAGGATAAGTCAATGCCACATTGTGTAGTTAATTTGTTCCCACACGCATTTCCAGCAGTCGGAGTTGTCTGCAGAGGATCGTCCAGAGAGGTACGGGCCAGTCCAGCAGCACCGTAGGATGGTGACCTCTCTGAACAAACAGATCCAACAGAAAACCAAGCAATTGGAGGAGGTGAGGACTGGACTCTGAACTTTACTGAACTTTGTGTGAAATAGCCATATTTTTTTAATGGAACGATACAATGCTCTTTCTTTTAATGACAGAAGTAACTAAAAGTATGTATTTTGTATTTTCAGCTACAAGCCAAGCGCTTGGAGGTAAAATCAGGGTGTGAGCAGGCTAAGAGCAAACTGATGGAGGCCACAGAGCAGGCAGAGAGACTGGAGAAAGAGCTGAGTACCCTGGAAGAGGCTGAGAGCCAGGCTGACACTGGGTGAGTGCTGCACATGCAGACCAACCATAGGGCATTCATTCAGCGGTTGATAGTATAGATAAACCCTGAAATTATAAATGTGTTTTGGACATTTCTCATCCTCCCTGTGTGTGCCACAGTCTCTTGGATAAGCTGAGGGCTCTGGTAGGCATGAATGAGAACCTGAAGCACCAGGAGCAGGAGTTCCGGACACACTGTAGAGTGAGGCTGTACACTTTCCCCTAATACGTCATAATAGTCCATATGACTTGTTAGACATACTTCGTAGATGTATTTGTGATGTATTTCACTCATTTCCTAGTAAGAGCACCACAACTAATATGGAGTGCTATTTGTTTCCAGGAGGAGATGGTTCGCCTGCAGCAGAACATTGAGGACCTGAAGATGGAGTCAGGAGATGATACGGAGGACGAGAAGGTAGCACACTGGCCCTGCGAGGAGCCCTCCCAAGACCAGCTAACTCTCCTTCGTCTATGTGTAACACTCTCTCTTTCTCTCTCTCTCTCACAGGAGAGGAGTCAGCTAATAGACAAGCAGTACAACATAGACAGAGAGAAGCTACAGAAAATCAGACTACTGATGGTAAAATCTCCAACGCACACTGCTGTAGCAGGATTCAGTCATGCTTATTCAGTTTGAATTGACTTAGGCATTTTGTTTGGAGCATGCAAATAGTGGTCCTCTTACCACGTCCATTATTTGCTCATGACCTGAGGTCTACTCTCTGATAGGCTCGTAGGAACCGTGAGATCGCCATCCTGCAGAGGAAGATGGACGAGGTGCCGAGCAGGGCAGAACTGACCCAGTATCAGAAGAGGTTCATTGAGCTCTATGGCCAAGGTGGGTGTCTTAGGCTCATCCTCTGTTCTGGGCACAGTGTTTGTTTAACAAATTCTTGCATCAAACATAGTTATACACTGAGTGTACAAAACATTAGGATCACCTTCCTAATATTGAGTTGCACCCCCTTTTGCCCTCAAAACAGTTTCAGTTCGTTGTGGCATGGACTCTACAAGGTGTCTAAAGCGTTCCACAGGGATACTGGCCCATGTTGACTCTAATGCTTCCCACAGTTGTGTCAAGTTGACTGGATGTCTTTTGGGTGGTGGACCATTCTTGATACACACGGGAAACTGTTGAGCATGAAAAACCCAGCAGCGTTGCAGTTCTTGACACACTCAAACCGGTGTGCCTGGCACCTACTACCATACCCTGTTCAAATGCACTTAAATATTTTGTCTTGCCCATTCATCCTCTGAATGGCACACATACACAATCCACGTCTCAATTGTCTCAAGGCTTAAAAAAATAATTATTTAACCTGTCTCCTCCCCTTCATCTACACTGATTTGAAGTGGATTTAACAGGTGACATCAATAAGGGATCATAGCTTTCACCTGGATTCACCTGGTCAGTCTGTCATGTTTTGTACACTCAGTGTATATTTTTTGTGTTTCAAGTTTATTTGTCCAGGATACACATGGTATACACAGTCCAACGAAATGCTTACTTGCAAGTTCCCGCTCGTTAGTGTGACAACAATAAGAAATAATAAAAGATAAGAATAACAAATTCAAAGTAAATGAGCTCAGTAGAATAGAATACCATTTTTGCATAAGTATAAATATAGGAAGGCACTCAACAATTTACAGTACAAAATATTTACACGTGTCTGGGAAGGGGGATTGGAGGGCAAGTGTTTAAATTGTGCAGTATTTAGCAATAATAAGTCTAGTAGCAGCAGTCGTGATGTGTATGTACCATGATTGTATATGTGTGGTTGCATGTGTGCTAAGGTGTGGAGAATCAGTCCAGGTGGTCAGTCCAGTTCAAGTGTTCAGCAGTCTGATGGCTTGTGGATAGAAACTGTCTCTGAGCATGTTGGTTTGAGACCCGATACCGTCTGCCCTGCGGTAAGGGAGTGAACAGTCCGTAGCTCGGGTGTGTGGGGTCCTTAATGAAGCTGTGTTAATAATGTTCTTAATGATGCTGTGTTAATGTTTGCTTTTTCGTCCTCTAGTTTCAGCAACACATAAAGAGACCAAGCAGTTCTTCACCTTGTATAACACATTAGATGACAAGAAGGTTTACCTGGAGAAGGAGGTAAGAGGAGAGGGCATACTATCTCAATCCGTTTCATAGAGCCATTGCAGCTGAAATCAGCTGGTTTACTCATGATAGTCATCCTCCTCTGTCTTGATCTGTTTCTTTAGGTGAACTTGCTGAATTCCATCCATGACAACTTCCAACAGTGAGTATTGTCACAATTAACCCTCTCTAAACCTATCCTGCGTTTGGTATTATGGGTAATGGAGTCCAGCAGATTTACTTCCTGTCTAAGCTGTGGTTTCCTGTCTTGCTCAGGGCGATGGCATCTTCGGGGGCCAAGGAGCAGTTCTTGAGACAGATGGAGCAGATAGTCGAGGGAATCAAACAAAGCCGCATCAAGGTAACCATCTCTTATTATCTTTAATGTCTACTGCCTAATGACAGCATTCACTGAGCATGCCAGGTGCTCACCCCCTGGCCCTAGTGAAAAACCTAAATTAGACAGTGATGTGTAAAAAAAATGAAGCAGCGCATATTGGTAATGTGATGTGTGTACAGATGGAGAAGAAGAAGCAGGAGAACAAGATGAGGAGAGACCAGCTGAACGATGAGTACCTGGAGCTGCTGGATAAACAGAGGCTCTACTTCAAAACTGTCAAGGACTTCAAAGAGGTGAGGCCTGAGAGTAAACAGTGTTCTGGGTCTGTACAGTAAAACATAAAGGAACTAGTTAACTGTTTTATGAATATGTTCTACTGTAGTCTCCCAGAGCTGAATATTGTTTTCTAAACTGATAAAGAAGTGAATCACTGAGGTTGTTTTACTGATCCAATACTCTTTCTTACAGGAGTGTCGGAAGAATGAGATGCTGCTATCCAAGCTGCGAACCAAGGGTGCTTCGTAACCCAAAACACTGCCTCCAAAATAATTTCTTACTGTTTATAAAAACTCATCTCAAAACAAATCTCATCAGTCAACGACTTTGTCTTGCTGTCTGCATTATGTATTCTCCTCTATTGGAGGTCATCTTCATTGTACTAACTGTAAGTCGCTCTGGATAAGAGCGTCTGCTAAATGACAAAAAATGTAAAAAAAAAAAAGTCTTATTCTGCCTATTGTGCTTTGACATTCTTCGTTTATTTGCAGCATGTGGTTAGGGCAGAGGGATTCTTGAGAGAGGGACATTAACTGCCCTGTGCACTTTGACATGAGGAATGTTCGCTCTACTTATGTGCCAATTACCTGTGCCTGGGCCCCTGTGGCATTAACCATTACAGTAGACCTAATGTTGTAGATAGGTACTCCATGAAATCCCAAGTGTGCAATTGGCACTAACGTGCAGGGCTGTCTGTACAGTTGTATTAATTAGCTTTCTCAGATGTCAATTTAGATGTTGAATAGAGTAACACTGCATAATGAGGCATGGTTGACACTGTTACTAAACTATAGCATTTCAAATTAATAAATGCTGTGCTGATATATGGTTCACTTTTATGCAGACTTTTTTTTCAACCCAAATCAAATGTTACCCGTGTTTTATTCTCTGTCTATCCTTTCCAACAGTTTACTATCAAGTTGGCACTTAATAAAATATACTATGCACAATCAGTAAGATTTCCTGCTGTTCTATTCCTGATAATTTCAGAAGCTACATTTAAAATGCCTTATGATCTTAATACAACTGGATGTAGCTTTAATCCAATCAAAATCCAGGATATGAGTTGTTGTAGTAAGTCAATTTATCCGCTAGTTGGCGCTTTGATAGGTGCAAGGTGAACAAGCCAGTATGGCGGAGGGGGAAAGTGATTTGGAAACAGACAGACTAGAATTGAAACTGGAGACTTTGTTCATATACTCTAACGACAACTGTTCAGTACAAAGCAAAGAATATTGCTCGGAGTTTTGTAAGGTAAGCTAAATCAAGGCAATTTCTGGTTTTATTTGGGAGAGGCAAGGAGTCGTGTGCTTCGCCAAGCTAACGTTAGCGGCTAGTTAGCCAGCTGCTCATCAGTACAAAGCAAGGTACAGTTGCTCAGCTAACTATTTAACGTTAGTAGCTAAAGTAATGACCTAACTAGCTAACTTAATTACTACATTTACTAGCTAACATTAATAACACATTTAGTCAACCCACACCGGCCTATAGTTACTATTTGTTTTAGCTGACTTAACTAGCTAGCTAACTTTAGCTTGCTAACGTTCCCATTTCATCAATGTGAAGTTGCAAGCTAGCTAACTAGAATTACTAGCTAACGTGCCCATGCAAAACTGTTTGCCTATTAGTGTGAAGTAACGTTAGTCTACTGATTGTGTCTGCTAGGATAACAATAAACTGGCTTAAAGTATAGCTAAGGCTCGAATTCGTTTTTCCTCGCTAGCATGCTAAACCAGTGTTGTTTACATTTAGCCAGTTAGCTAGCGCAGCTGTCACATAGGCATAACATATATCGTATACCTGTTTGCAAAGAAAGCTAACTAGTTAGCTAGCTAGCTTGTCTAGCTAGTTATGTATGTGTTAAGCACTCAGGAGGACCGGTTGAAATCTGCAACTATCTAACTAGAAACAAGCAATGAACCCCAATTCCAGCTAGCTACCGTAAAACAGTCCACCACACTTCACCGAAGCATTCCTGTGACATATGGTTTCAAATTCAGATAACTAGCCAGCAGCTACACAGGTCTGCTCAGATCTCTACAATACCGCACCTGGAAAAAGGTTGAACATATCAGTATTCAGGAACCACATCAACACATGAAATAATGATCAATAATCTGGACAGACATTTGTATCTGAATCACACCCCCTGTATCTCTGTCTGACTGTCTCTTTCCCTGTCTAGCTGGTGGAGGAGCATACAGAGAGATGGCAGGTGCCGTTGCCCCAGCTGAAGGTGCTGCGGACAGCTCTTACCTGCTTCACCAGAGCCACTGCTGCCTACCCCGATGACTGTCAGCATGTCAGCAACGCTCTCAGCAGTCTGGCCTTGTAAGCACTTATTTATATGGTTCTTACACTTTCATGCAGACCCAAACTGTACTGTGTTGACTCAGATATTTATTTTCTACATTGTACAATCCTGCATGACTCTTCTCTAAAATCGAGCTCAACTGGCCCAATTACATATCATAATGTCACATTTTCAGGAGCTTCTTTGAGCTGATGCTGTTCTTCAGTAAAGAGGAGTTCCAGGAGGCCCCCTTGAAGGACATTCTAGCCTCTTTTCAGGTGAGGCCAACCGTGATGTAGCCTATTTGTTCATACTGAGTGCCACCATGGTGATCCATGTGGTGTGTTAACGTGAGTCCCATCTCCTACTCTGTAGGCCTGCCACCGCCGCCTGCTGAGACACAGGAACGTCTACCTGCTACAGGTGAGGCAGTTGATCAAAGATGGCGGCCCCTGGGAGAGACCTACTCTGCAGGCCATCCTGAAAGACACAGTCCTCACACAGACAGAAGGTACACACACATTCTTTTTTTTTTAGCTTGTGAGTTTTCTATGCTTTTCTTATTGTCTCTCATCTTCTCACTCTCTCCCCTCCCTTTTCTCTCCCTTTCCCTCTCTCTCTCTCCCCCCGGTACAGTGGAGAAGTATTTGAGCTCGGAGAAGCCAGTGTTCTTTGAGCTGCGTGTGCGCTACCTGCAGGTCTGTGAACGCGTGCAGGAGGCCATGGCCCTGGCTAAGAGTTGTCTGGAGCACCCAGAGGTGGGGAGGCACCTGTTCTTCCACCAGGCCTACCTCACCTGCCTGTACAAGGCCTCGCTGCATGAACACCTGCTCAAGGAGGTACGGTCACTACCTTTCACTCTGTATCTTCAGACAGACTCTCTAATCTGAGTGGACTGAAAGACAATAAACATCAGAGAGGATTCATGGTTGTGTTTCCTCCCTCAGATGGCTGAGATAGATGGCAGAGAAGCAGTAGAGATCATCTGTAATGCAGAGAGCCAGGAGAAAGATGAGCTGCTGCTGTCTCTTTGCAAGGCCTTCCTCAGTCAACAGCTAAACAACGGAGACATGTACTACATCTGGTCAGTAACACTGTGATATATACTACATGTGCTAAATCTGGTCAGGGCTCACCACTATAAACAGGGCTTCATAATAATACAGTACTGTAACATAATATAATGTTGTGTTCATACAGGGATCTGGTGTTCCTGTGGAGCAGACTGCACCTCAGGGCCCATCCCTCTAAGCAGGGCTTCCTGTCTGAGTGTCGCCAGCTGATGCTCTCCGCCATCAACGCCAGAGCCATCTTCCCCTTCATCAAAGTCATCACAGCAGAGGTGGGTGTACAGCCAACCACCAACAAATTTGACCCACTCCTGTTCGCTTGTAGTCCTAGTTTACCTTGACTTAGAAACGTTGTTCTGTCATTTACACAATTCAATGTAACACATTGTTCTTATTTCTTTGCCAGATGGGTAGTGAGGGAGTGCCGCTATGTGTGGAGATGTGTACTGCAGCGTTGCAGACAGACCTCCAGTCTGACCCTGTGACGCGCTGCCTGCTGTGTAAGACCATCGCCTTCCTGTTCCCCCGCGACCTGGAGGTGTGCCGCCTCTGTGCCCTGCTGGTGTTCTGTCTGGAGCGCAGTGTGGAGGCCTTCAAGACCGTTTATCTGCTCTACATACACCCAGACGAGGAGCCACACCCCCTCCACACCCCTGTCAAAACCAACATCCGCTTCTATATCTTACAGGTCAGAGAGGCACCGGGGAGCTCGGAAATATGATGCCAAATACTTTTGCTAAATATGTTAACTAGAAAATACAGTAGATTATTAAAACATGCACTTTTAGTCATAAAAATAGTTCTCTCCTGTCGAAATGTCATTATGATAGACTGTTGGATGCCTCTTAATAATGTAATGTCTGTAATTGAAACTCTGCCTGTCCCTGGTCCAGGTGCTGAAGGAGGGGCTGTTCTTCGACCCAGAGTTCTGGAACCTCCTGACCCTGAGAACCCACTGTCTGGAGCTTATGACTGACAAGGCCATGAGGGAGGCTCTCAACGAGGTGAAGGAGGAAGAGGAGTTGGAGCAGGTGGAGGAGGAGTGGATACCAAGCTACTGGATGGAGGAGGAGACATGCAGGATACACACAGACACCTCACACCTCCATTCACACACTGACACAGCACCGGAGAACTCTGAGACTGCAGGTCAGGAGCATGAGGAGGGAGAGTATGGGGATGCTCCTGAGTCACAGACAGAAGACTTCCCTGTGATGAGGAGGTGGAGGAGGAGAAGGTGTAGGTCTGATGTTGACAGTGCTGACGACCCAGACATGAAGTACTCCCTCAGACACAATCACAGTTCTGAAAGCTCCACCAAGCTACCGGCCAATCGGCAGAGGGAATACCTGGCCAGACACGTGAAGAACAAGATCCTGAAGAGACGCGGCAGGAAACCAAGATGGCTGCTCCTGGAGATGACCAGACAGACAGAGAATGTGTCCCCGGGGAGAACAAGGTCGAGAGGGAAGGGAATGAGAGAGAGGGGAGAGGGTAAAAGAGAGAAATGGGAAAGAGGAGATGGTAAGAGCGAGAGATGGGAGAGGGGGAAGGGGAAAAGAAAGCGAGGCGAAGGGGACGAGTGTAAGAAGGAGAGGAGGCATGAAAAGTTGGATAAGAGAGAGAGGAGGCAGGGCAGGGAAGGTAAGAGACCTTACCGCAGAACTATACGTGGCATGGAGCTGTCCTTCCCTGAAAATGAAGTGCTTGTGGAACAGGAGGTGGTAGAGAATCATGTAGAACCCAGTGTTGGTCTTAAACAGCAGCACGGTGACGCAGAGAACTATGTCAACATGGGACTGCCTAATGGCCTACATGGTGAGAGACCGTTTGAGTATGAACCAGAGACAGAAATAGAGCTTTCAGAAGTAGATCCTTCAGTGGTAGCGCCTTCAGACATAAATCCTTTAGACTTGAAACCTTCTGTTGCTGAGCCTTCTGTTGCTGAGCCTTCTGTTGCTGAGCCTTCTGTTGCTGAGCCTTCTGTTGCTGAGCCTTCTGTTGCTGAGCCTTCTGTTGCTGAGCCTTCAGAAGGGAAGGTCTTCGAAGGTCCCAGTGAGCAGACCGACCCAGAGCTGGACGGCCCAGCCTTGGAGATGGAGGAGTGTCCACTAACACTGTTCCACATCTACGCCAAATCCTCTAAAGGGACAGATGCTAAGGAATTACAACATTTGACGGAAGGTAGTGATGTCACAGCGTCAGAGGTGGGACCGGACTCAAACACTCAGGTTAGTATTATCTGAGGCAACATTGTTGTTTTGAGAAATTAATGATTGATGCTTAGCTACTGCAACTGTCCTATGAATATCACCTGTTAACAGCTTGTTTATCCTACTCCAGGGTGAAGACACAAAGCCAGGCAAGGCTCCAGTCCGTTCCAAACACCTGTGCTTCCACTGCAGCCACTGCCAGAAGCTCTACAAGGGAGGCAACGTGGTGAGACACACCCTGGCCCACCTGAAGCTGAGGAAGACTAGGCTCAGCTGTGTCTTCTGTGGCAAACACTTCCAACGGTATAACCGTGCCAAGGAACACATTCTAGAGCACATAGAGGAACTGAGAACCACCACGCTCAATAGTAAGATCAAACCTGCTGTCAATGGAGATGCAGAACCGTCGGAGAACGTTAATCAAGCTTCGGAGAACGAGACTAAACCCGGTGAGAATGTGACAGAGCCCCCTCCTCCGACGGATCAGCCTCCTAATCCCAAACGTGTTAAACCCAAGCCGGTGGTCAGCAAGCAGAGTAGAATCATCCAGAACCTGAGAAACCTGATCAGAAAGACCCAGAAGTGGAAAACTGACACGGACAACCAGGTGTCAGTGGAAGTGAAGGATGAACAGGTGACTGTGAAGGATAAAGTGGTGATTGTGAAAGAAGTGGTGCCTGGGGAGGAGACGGAGGGAGGAGAGAAGAAAGCGTGTGAAGGAGGAGAGCAGGAGGGGAAGCAGAAGCAGTACCACCTGTGTCCTGCGGAAGGCTGTGACAGCATCTTTATGAAGATCGGCCCATCGCTGCTGAGACATGCTGTCAACTACCACATGGAGGACGCAGCCGTCCTGGAGAAGACCTTTCAGTGGGGGAAGGGGAAGTGTCAGATCTGCCAGAGGTAAGAAGGGTCTTTCACCACAGATTATTTTCCAGGTCAGGTGCAAAGGCACTCAAACAACATGTAGGCCCCACCTAGACCAAAATTGTAAATTGGAACCAATAAAGACTTTCTCGGGTGGGCTGCAACTGATCTAGGTGGGGGCGTGGGGTTCTGACCGTACAATGGTGTAATTTATGTCTCCATCTTTTTGTTGTTGTGCCCCAGGCACCTGTTGGTGTTCGAGCACTACAGAGACCACATGAAGCTCCACGATGCTCCTCTGAAACAGGTGTGTCTCCACATGAACTGTGGCCAGTGCTTCAAGACCGCCCAGGAGCTCAAAGACCACATGGACACCCACCGACCACTCCAAGCCCCCTGTGGGTACTCCGGCTGTAGTAAGAGCTTCTTTAACCTCCCCTCTCTCCACGACCACGAGTGGAGACACTACACCCAGCCCCAGTCTAAAGATGAGGTGGAGCAGGGCGTTACCAAAGAGCTGAGTCCTACCAAAGAGCTGAGCCCTGAGGGTGAGGCCTCCTGGAAACAGAGGGTGAAGTGCCAGGATGTGACAGTGCACGGGTGGAGGGAAACGCCTTCTCCCAAATCCAGGCGCTCTGATCCTCATGAGAAGTGCATTTACTGTAACAGGTAAAAGAGTAAGACACAGCAACATTTCCACGGTGAGGTCTTCATCATGCTAGGCCTGAGACACAACTTGCAGAAGCTAGTGAGAACACCAATTTTTACTGCTCTCCAGTATTAGGCTTCATCTGTGTCTGGGGAACTAGTCCATAGATGGTTTAGCCGGTAAATGAATTTAACCCCCTATGGTCGATGTCTGTGCCCCCGCATAAATCTAATTATCATAATAAGAAATAAACCCAGAAAAATCTGTCAGTTTAAGCTAGAGATTTCTGCGTCTCAATCCACCGCATCCGCCTATATAACACTTCCGCATCTGCGGTGAAAGGTGACAGCGCTAGAGTGGTGTTTGTCAGACCATGAAACATCCCGAAAATCGGTCTTCTCACAAAATCGTCTGTAGCGTCCGAATGGTTTGGCCTATAAACTATTATGACCCCTTCTATGATGAGACTCACGATGACGTTCTCCGTTTTGCTCTATGACCCCCACAAGCGTCTTGGGACTCGTCTGAAGTCGGTACAGCCAATCGGCCAACTTCTGTCTGTAGCGTCCAAACAGTTTGGGCTACGCACTGTTTTGATCTAGGGCGCTCACAGACCTCACAAGACTCGTCTGAAGGTCCACTGGTACCAGTCCCAAAAAATAATGGAAGTACAGTATATGGAGACTGTTTAGTGACAATAAGGGGTTAAATACATATAAATAAAATATGTTTCCTGATCGTCCTTATACTGTATCTCTCAGATATAGGATGGACACTATAGAACAAACTTCCTTTAGATTTTTGGGGGGAGACTATCTGTTCCATGTAATGAATCTGTTATTCAATGTGTTTGTATGGGCTAATAGCAGTAAGGCCAAATAATTTTTAAATATTTTTTGGGGGATACCTCAAGGAGTCTTAAAATTCTAAATCAAATAGCAAAATGATCCTTGGTATGACCTTCTTAAAACAATTCCATATAGCTTGGTAGTACCCCCCACCCCCCTCACCTGGCTTAGACCATGGGTTAAGGCCTGGTGAAAATGGTGTTGCTTATGTCCATATCTTTTTCTGTTCCAGGTACCTGTGGAACTACCAGCACTTCCTAGACCACATGAAGATCCATGATGATCCTCTAAAACAGGTGTGTCTCCATCAGAACTGTGGCCAGCGCTTTTCCATGACCCACCTGCTCTGGGAGCACATGGAGACCCACCAGCCTCTCCAGGCCCTCTGTGGGTACGCCGGCTGTAGGCTGATCTTCTCTCGCCTCCCCTCTCTCCATGACCACGAGTCGAGGCACTACATTCAGCCCCAGGGCCAGCCTAAAGATGAGCCGACGGAGGAGCAGAGCGCTACGAAAGAGGAGGGGCAGACTCTGGAGTCAGACACCAACAGTAACAACAATGACGGCCCTGTGGAGACTCCAGTCACTAGTGCTGTCACCACACCTCCCAGTGACCCCACACAGAAACTCATCAATGGTCATGATGGAGAGGACAAGAAAGACCAAGCCCCTGAGACAGACGTCCCTGCCACCACTACCACCTCCCCTACACCCACATCCCAAACCACCACACCCACACACCCCCATCCCAGTCTCTTCCAAAACCTCACTGAGCCAATGACCATGAGGGACGTGGACAATATCGTCACTTTGGCTCAGGTGATGCCTTGCGGAGAGGAACCAGTCATCGCGGAACACAAGACCTTCAAACCAGAGGATCCTTCCTACTTACCCCTGGCCAAAGCTCCCCTCATCCGCCCGCCCCCCTCGACATACCTGACCGAGGCAGCCCTCAGCATGCGCAAGCGCAGGAAACCCAGCGAGGTCACTTCCAGCGGGGCTGGCAAGAAGAGTAAGGCTACAGTAAAGATGCGTGTGGTGGGAAAGAAGAATGCAGTGCAGAAGGAGGTGGCGGCTGAGAAGGAGGTAGAGGAGGAGGCCCCACCTCAAAGTCGGCGCTGCTCCAAGTGTTTCTCCTCATTCACTAGCCCAGAGGAACTGAAGAGACACCTCTCCCAAAACACCTGCTCCTCCCTCTTCAGCTTCGACTCTGATGATGACAGTAAGTAGCACACATGGAAGTCTTATTCACAGAATCTGTCAAGAAATAAATACTTTATTTTAATTGGTATGTTAACACTTTTATTCAGAAATTAAGGACATTCGGTGTTGAGAATTTTAAGGAAATTAGGTGGGGAGACCGGCAAGTGGGAGAAACAGTGTGAAGGGTGGATGCAGGGATTGAACCCTCTCCAGTGGGATGTTGCATGTGCCAGGGAGTGTTACCACTACATCACGGCTCTGCACAAGAAATCTATGTTCTTACAACAGAATATCGAAAGGGAGAGTTTTGAAATGGCATCAACTTGGTCAACAAATGTTTTCGCTCATTTGTAGCAGCTGCTTATATAAATAGCATTTGCATAGTGATGCAACACTTTGTTTGTAAAGCAAGTATTTGTTTATGCAAATATTTATTTTGATATTTTCCTTCCCAGGTTAGTGGTAAAGAGGAATGGGAGTGAAATGTTCAGCCAGGCTGGTGGAAAATAATGTTTTGTTGGGGTTGGAGCACTACAGAGACCACATGAAGCTCCAGGATGCTCCTCTCAGACAAGTGTGTCTCCACCTGTGTTCTATCTGTACTGTCTGAACTGGGCCTGAGACAGGCACTGTTAGCACCCAGTCAGCTCTAAGAGCTGTAGGGCCAGTCTCATGGTATACTATAATACTGGCAGCCTGAAGTCCGCCGGTCACTAAAGATACAATACACAACTCCGGAATAAGTGTTACTACTGCAATAGACTGTATATAGGTCTAGACCGAACAGTACTGCATTTCAGTCATTGCCACGACTTTGTTTCAATAAGTCTTATTTGCTTTAAAATCACAGTATGAAGAATCACACTGTAGGTTACTAATACAGTGTTTCAAAAGTACTTATTATGTTCTGTTTGGCATACATTTTTGTTCAGTATTTTAACAGAATTGTTCTAAAAACAAAGAGCAATGTTTTCACAATGTATTAGAAATTGTTCATCTATGCATTTGATGACAATAAATATTTTGTAAAAGAGCATCAAAATGAATTTGAGAATAAAAATCACTGAAGGACCCATAATGTGATGAACGATGTGCACTTATCTGCATTGGTCGTTTATTTATATGTACGAATGTTGATATATGTATTAAGTTTGTACTTAAAATGTAAATATCCTTCTCAATTCAACTCTATTTTTCTTAAAGAAAAATGTATGACTTGTTTTCATTAAACAATTTACAGTATGAACCAAATAAGTGGTTAACTGTGCTGGTTATTTACTAACAAATTAATACTATGTCAGTCAACAAGGGAGAGGGTAACAACCAGTGATCTATAAGAACTTATTTATTTCAGATGACAAATTGCATAATTTCCATCATAACAAAAGTATTGTTTCAGAGTTGGGTCATAGTTCGATCCAGGCAAAAGCCATGACAGTGTTGATCTCTACAGGTTTGCATCATGTTTTACAAAGAGAGATGAGTTAAGTTTAGGGATGTACAGTTCTTCTTTTAAGGATTCCTCCAGAGGTCAAGCTCTTATTGCAGATACATGAAACACCACTAAAGCAGTGTTCTCCATTACTGGTCCAATAGCTACTGTATTCAAGGTCTGGTTAAGAAGCTCAAACAGATATGGCAGTGCTGGAACAAAAGCCTGCACACACTGGCAATCCAGGACCAGGAGCAAAGAACTCCCAGCAACATGTCTACCAGTGTAGTACCTACTCCAGTAGCATGGAGTGCTAGTAGCTGTGCCACAACAGGCCATGTGGTTAGCCGTAGGGGTTAGGGGTAGTTGTAATAGCAGTGCTAGTAGCTGTGCCACAACAGGCCCTGTGGTTAGCCGTAAGGGTTAGGGGTAGTTGAAATAGCAGTGCTAGTAGCTGTGCCACAACAGGCCATGTGGTTAGCCGTAGGGGTTAGGGGTAGTTGAAATAGCAGTGCTAGTAGCTGTGCCACAACAGGCCATGTGGTTAGCCGTAGGGGTTAGGGGTAGTTGTAATAGCAGTGCTAGTAGCTGTGCCACAACAGGCCCTGTGGTTAGCCGTAAGGGTTAGGGGTAGTTGAAATAGCAGTGCTAGTAGCTGTGCCACAACAGGCCCTGTGGTTAGCCGTAGGGGTTAGGGGTAGTTGTAATAGGAGTGCTAGCTATAGATGTGGCCAGGGTCTGAGGTACTCTCTCTCAGGGTTAGAAAGCACTGGCTAGAGAACAGGGTCATATCATATCCTAACTACAGGCTTCATGATCAGAGCATACAGTATTCCAGGCATACAGTAATGCATGCATCAAACAAACTAACACATTCCAGTCATTGTGACATGCATGTCAGTGAGTGAATGAGACACAGTAAAAGTAGTAACGCCTAGTAATAATTATCAACAGTATCTAGGGTCGACTTTGACCAGTTCAGTTATTCCTCTCACTAGACTAAAGTAGCCGTTTCACTAGAGGTACAGCAAGTCTCTCACAGACAGAAACCCAACAAACAAAGCCAAACATAGGAGTGGGAGATGGAGCAAATGGTTACACTACATCAGCATTTGACATAAAAATAGTACAGTACACACTGCAGGTATATGAATGGTACAGACAGTACATGTTACAGTGATATCATATTTTCCAGATTTTGCTCACACAGGAAGCCCTCTCCTCCCATTGCATCATGGCGCAGCTGACCTGAGATAAACACAAGTGCATTGTGGGAAGCAAGGTAGACATACCCCTCCGTTGTCGTACCGTGGGAGAGTTCTCGAAAGAGATGGGCTTGAAGAGACTGTGCTGCTACACAGTACAAAGCTCTTTCTACAGCGCAGTGTACTGACAGTGAACTGGTACCTGGCTATACAGAGAGCAGCAAAATCTGGTGTGCATAAAACAGGAGATGAACAAACAGTTTGGGATAAAAGTTTTACTAAACAGTTTAAGATCTTTTTTATAGATAAATAGTCAACTTTTTTCTCTTGTTAGAAAAAGTACAATTGTGTCCAGTAAGTGTTCAATTGGATCATTAACATGCATTGAATTATTCAAGCCTTCCTATCAGATACAAAATCAATAAATATATTTTTAATCAATGCTAAAACTAATTTATAATAAATAGGTGCATGCTAAAATGCAGCATTAGCACTTTCAAGGCTTGAAATGGAAGACCCAGTAAGAAGAAGTAAAACTAGCATAAAAGTGTACAGTGCATTCGGAAAGTATTCAGACCCCTTGACTTTTTCCACATGTTGTTACGTTACACCCTTATTCTAAAATGGAGTAAATTAATGTTTTCCTTCTCAATCTACACACAATACCCCATAATGACAAAGCGAAAACAGGTTTTTAGAAATGTTAGAAAATGTATGAAAAATAACAACAGGAATACCTTATTTACATAAGTATTCAGACCCTTTGCTATGAGACTCGAAATTGAGCTCAGGTGCATCCTGTTTCCATTGATCATCCTTGAGATGTTTCTACAGCTTGATTGGAGTCCACCTGTGGTAAATTAAATTGATTGGACATGATTTGGAAAGGCATACACCTGTCTATATAAGGTCCCACAGTTGACAGGGCATGTCAGAGTAAAAACCAAGCCATGAGGTCAAAGGAATTGTCCGTAGAGCTCCGAGACAGGATTGTGTCGAGGCACATATCTGGGGAAGGGTACCAAAAAATGTCTGCAGCATTGAAGGTCCCGAAGAGAACAGTGGCCTCCATCATTCTTAAATGGAAGAAGTTTGGAACCACCAAGACTCTTCCTAGAGCTGGCCGCCCGGCCAAACTGAGCATTTGGGGGAGAAGGGCCTTGGTCAGGGAGGTGACCAAGAACCCGATGGTCACTCTGACAGAGCTCCAGAGTTCCTCTGTGGAGATGAGAGAAACTTCCAGAAGGACAACCATCTCTGCAGCACTCCACCAATCAGGCCTTTATGGTAGAATGGCCAGACAGAAGCCACTGCTCAGTAAAAGGCACATGACAGCCCGCTTGGAGTTTACCCAAAGGTACCTAAAGGACTCTCAGACCATGAGAAACAAGATTCTCTGGTCTAATGAAACCAAGAATGAACACTTTGGCTAGAATGCCAAGCGTCAAGTCTGGAGGAAACCTGGCACCCTCCCTACGGTGAAGCATGGTGGTGGCAACATCATGCTGTGGGGATGTTATTCAGCGGCAGGGACTGGGAGACTAGCCAGGATCGAGAGAAAGATGAAAGGAGCAAAGTACAGAGAGATCCTTGATGAAAACCTGCTCCAGAGCACTCAGGACCTCAGACTGGGGCAAAGGTTCACCATCCAACAGGACAACGACCCTAACCACACAGCCAAGACAACACAGGAGTGGCATCGGGACAAGTCTCTGAATGTCCTTTAGTGGCCCAGCCAGAGCCTGGACTTGAACCCGATCAAACATCTCTGGAGAGACCTGAAAATAGCTGTGCAGCGATGCTCCCAATCCAACCTGACAGAGCTTGAGAGGATCTGCAGAGAAGAATGGGAGAGACACATCATGTGACTTTACTCAAACAACTCCATTCTCAGAAAATACTGACCCTGGTCTTTAGAACAAATTAATCTGTGCCACTACATGTGCAGTATTTGCAGTGTAAAACTCCAGTGTGTTACCTGTGGTGTGTAATGTTTTGATGGGTGGACAGCCCTTAGTGTCACAGTTCAGAGCAAAATGGATGAGAAGCTCAGCGTCTGGGAGAGCCTCCTAGTGGACAAACAGAGAACAACCACAATCACCACTGCAACCACTGCCACAGATAGTTCCCAGAAACACATATTTCACCAGTAAATCAGAGAAGTAAATGGAGCCAGAGGAATGATAATGAACAGAGTATTATTTGTTGTCTTTCCACAATCCTACATGGTTCTCTTACCCTGCATCTCTGCCACATGTTGGTTGGGGCTCCCAGACAGAGGTTTTCGTGAATGACCAGAGCGTTGTAGATGTTGATGAAGAAGGCTAATTTCTCCTCTCTGGTCAGAGATAGCAGCTCTACTCTCTGTAGCTGAACAGCCAGCTCACAGT